AAATAAACAGAGCACAGAGGGATAAATACTGCATGTGCTCACTCATAAGTGGGAGCTAAGAGAGAAAGAAGGAAGGAAAGAAAGACCACAGTGGTGCGTTGGACTTGCAGAGGGAGAGAACAGACCTAGAGATACAAAGTGGAGTGGCGGGGAGGGAGAGAGAGGTTGGGGATAATTGGGTGGGGGACATGGGGTATAACTGCAATTTGTGGTAATGGGCATGCTGCCAGTATGGATCTGGACTTCACATCTTGGGCATGAAAGGTGACAATCAGCTTTGTATCTCGTGAATATTCATAACCAATATAAATAAATAAATAAATAAATAAACTAATTTTAAAATGCTCTATAAATGTTTGAAAATATTGGGTATTCTCTGTTGTTATAAATTTATACATACTTATTAAATTATGCTAGATAACTGTGTTATTCAAATAATATATACTTATTTTACCCAGCTGATCTATTAATTTTTGAGAGAAGAATACAAATTTTTCCACCATGAGTGTGGATTCATCCATTTCTCATCATATTATAAGAGTTTTGGCTTTGTTATGTTGTGACTTACATCTTCCTGATAGATTGTGCCCCTTTTTGTTTTGCTTAATGCCTTTTGCTTTGAATTCTTATTAATACTTTTGCTTTTATTAATTTGCCATTCATTCTTAATTTTCATTACAATCTACCTGGTTACATTTTTAAAATATTTTTATTTTCAACCTTCTATGTCTTTTTAATTTTACATATATATTTCATAATAAGCATAAACCTGAATCTAACTTTTTTGTTTCATCTACCCTCTCTTTTTTCTTTTAAAAGAGAGTGTTAACCCATCCATATTTAGGTTTTTACTTATTTCTGACACTTTATGTTCTGTTTTGTATTTGCCATGCTTTCTGAGTTTTCTCCACCTCTCTCAACACACTCTGTATTTGCTATCATTTACTGAAATAATTGCATTTTCTTGGTGCTCTTTTTATTTCCTTTAAAAGTTCTGTTTGGAGGATTTACATCTAATTTCCAATGTTTCTCAAAACGGAGTCCAGGATCAATTGTATCACAATCACCTTGGCTGCTTTTAATTTTTTTATTGTGATAAAACATACATAAGATTTACCATTTTAAGTATTATTAAGTGTACAGTCCTATGATATTAAGTAAATTAACATTGTTTTGTAACCATGTCCACTAATTATCCATCTCTATAACTTTTTCATCATCTCAAACTAAAACTGTACCCATTACATAATAATTCCTTATTCCTTCCTACCCCTAGGCCTTGGTAACCACCATTCTATTTTTTTATCTCTATGAATTTGACTATTCCAGGTATCTCCTATAAGTGGAATCATACAATATTTGTCCTTCTGTGTCATGTCTGGCTTATTTAACTTAACATAATGTCTCCAAGATTTGTCTGTTTTGTAGCAAGTATCAGAAATCCATTCCTTCTTAAGGCTAAATCATATTCCATTGTACATATATACCATATTTTATTTACCCATTCATTCTTTACTGGACATTTGGGTTGCTTCCACATGTTAGCTGTTGTGAATATACATGCTATGAACATGAGTGTGCAAATATCTGTTTGAGTCCCTGCTTTTAATTCTTTTGGGTATATACCCAGAGTGGAAGTGGTACTGCTGGATCAGATGGTAATTCTATGTTTACATTTTGAGGAATCACAATATTGTTTTCCACAGTAGCTGCACCATTTTACATTTCTACCAGCAGTGCACAAATGTTGTAATTTCTCCACATACTCACCAAGACTTCTTGTTTTCTTTTATTTATTTATTTTTAATAATAGTCATCCTAATGTGTGTGAACTGGTATCTGATTGTGGCTTTAATTTGCATTTCCCTAATGATTAGTGATGAGTATCTTTTCACGTGCTAGTTGGCCATTTGTATCTTTTAAATCTTCTTTGGAGAAATGTCTATTCAAGTCCTTTGCCTATTTTTGAATTGGGTTTTTTGTTGTTTTTAAATGATACAGATTGAATTGCATCCCCCAAGTTTTATGTATTAGAAGCTTGATCCACACTGTGACAGTTTAAGATGGTGGGAAATCCTATTATAGTAACTAAAAGGTGGGGTCCTGAAGAGGTGATTAGAACTGAGGACCATGCCCTAATGAATGAATTAATAATGGTGGTCATGGGCATGGTTCTGAGGCCTTTAAAAGGAGAGCACATGAGAGTCTCTCTCTCTGCTCCACCATTCTCACCACTTGAGACCCTGCATTGCTGAAATCACCACCAAAAAAGGCCCTCACCATAAGTGTTCCCTGAACTTTGGACTTCTCAGACTCTGAAACTTTAAGCAATAAATTTTGTTATATTACAAAGTACCCAGTTCCAAGTATTTTGTTATAAGCAACAGAAACGGACTAATACATTGAGTTTCAGGAGTTCTTTATATATTCTAGATATTAAAACTTTATCAGATACGTGATTTGCAAATATTTTCACTCATACTGTGGGTTGCCTTTCTACTCTGTTGATAATGTTCTTTGATGCACAACCCGGGGCATTTTTTAAAATGTAGACTGTAGAGTCCCATTCTAGACGTACAGAATCAGAATGCCTGGAGGTGGAGTATGAGCATCTGTATTTGTAAAAGGGGTACCAGGTGAACAATTAGATAGGATGAGTAAGTTCTAGTATTCTACTAAACAGTACAGTGACTATAGTTAACAATAATGTATCGTATATTTCAAAACAGCCAGAAGAGAAGATTTTGAATGTTCTCACCACAGGAAAACAATAAATGTTTGAGATGATGTTATGCTAATTACCCTGATTTGATCACTACATACTGCATACTCATACATGTATGCAAATATCACATTGTACCCCATAAATACATACAAATATCGTGTCAAGTAAAAATAAAACATTTAAAAAAATGTAGCAGGTGATTACTATGCCCCTCTGTTTTAGTTGTTGCCCCTAAATTTTTGGCTAGCATTTAAAAACATTTTTTGGCATAAATTTAGAGAACTGACCAGTATATCCTGATTCTTTCCTAAGGAAAGAAAAATTCTAACACAATTTTACTCCTCTCCATCCAGACTCTGATGTTTTATTGAAATTAGATGGAGTTTTAGTTCTTGATTGTTACTAATTTTTTTGTATTATCCCTTCATATTGTTGGGAATTGTTTCTTTGTAACTGCATTAAGCCTCACAGCCACATTGCCAACAGCTTTTTAAGACTTAACTATAAATATCAGAACTTTCTTTGACTATCACTGATTTTTGAATATTTTGGCTTCTAAGTATATAGATTAATATTTCATTTGTTGGATTATATCCTTGAGCAATGTTTTCAGACCATGAGTAATAAATCTTCTAAGTTCCTAGGTGTCGATAGTTGCTTTTATTTTGTCCTTACATATTGATATTTTAGCCACTGATTACAACTACAAGTCAAAATAATTTTCTTTCACATATACTCATTTGAATTTTGTCACGTTGGCAACTCTACTGTCATCCAGACTCCTATAATATAGGTGAAAAGTCTGTCCTGTAAAAATAAGTCTGATTCTCATCTCTTTATTGATAACTTACTTTTTTCTTTTTGTTTTGGTTTTTATAAATCATTCTCTCCCTCTTTCTCACTCTGGAATTTTGGTGAAAAGTCTGTCCTGTAAAAATAAGTCTGATTCTCATCTCTTTATTGATAACTTATTTTTTTCTTTTTGTTTTGGTTTTTATAAATCATTCTCTCCCTCTTTCTCACTCTGGAATTTTTTAGCCCTTCTCTTTATCTTTGGAACTTAGAAATATCACCATGACATATGTTTTCTCTCCCTCTCAGTCATTATTCCTACTTAGTACTCAGTGGCCCTTCAAAATCAACAAAAATTTTCTCTGATTATGTCATCAGTTATCTCCCCCTCTCCCCACTGTCTCTGGTCTTTACTTCTGGAATAGGCTGATGATGGTTTCTGGGATTTTTCCCTCAATTTGTCTTTATTTATATTTCATATCTATTTGTTTCTCAACTTTTTGTTTTAAAATATTCATTCCTTTTCTCTTCCATATTAATTTCTATCTTTAGCCGTCTCCATTTTATTATCAAGAACTTCTATTGAGTTATTTTATTTTGGCAATAGTTTTAACTTTATTTTTTGGTGTCCTATTCTTATGTTATCCTTTTCAGTGTCTGTTTTTCACCTTGGCCTTTTTCTTTCATGCGGCTAGTTTTATTAAAATGTATTGTAATTCTTAAATTACCATTCATAATTAAAACGAGGAACTAGGTGGATTGCACTGGAAAGCTGGTCTGGGTTTCCACACCCTGAGCAGATCTATTTAATCATTTCCTCTTTTTCTGCTCTGTGGAGATCTGGGAGTACTTCAGGTTTGGTTCTGCCTTATGATGTGGTTCCAACATCCATTCTAGGAACCCTTCTACAGTCATATTTATAAAATTTATGAGATTATTTTTCAGTTTTAATCAAGGAGCACTTGCTACAGCCAATCCCTCTATAAATATGGCGTGTGGGAGAAGAATTTGTTTTATGTCAGCACATTAATTAATTTCCCAGAAGGAAGTTCTGGTCTACTCCTACATCCTATAGCTGCTAACACTATGCTTGAAATTTCTCTGTTCTCTCCTGCAGACTTTTGAGTGTGGTTTTTCCCTGCTGATTTATTGATTACACAAATTCTATTTTCTTTCTATCTTCCAGGAGTTTCTCAAAACTTATGATCTACAGTAGAACTGTCCTATTTTCCTGCAGTATTATGGATGTATTCCGTCTTAAGTCATTTGTCATGTTAATGAAATTTTGAGATGGATGTAAAATAAATGGCTATTATTGGCCTGCTATTTGAATTCAGAAGTTCAGGGTTAACTCAAATAGAAGTTTTCACAAGTTTTCCCTTCTTTTCTAATCACAGTCATAATATAAGCAACCTAAAAAGTTCAGGAGTATTTTTAGATTAAAAGTATTTGCAGGTCATTTAAAATTTTTTCAGCATTATACCTGTCAATGGCTTGAAGATCATTGGCTGGATTCCAAGTAGGATCAAATAATATAACAACATTGGCACCAACAAAATTGAGTCCTAGTCCACCAGCCCTGGAGGAAACAGAAAAGAGCACAGTAAAAGAGCAAAAACTCATTGTTGTACCAGATCTCTATAGCTAAAAGAATACAATATTGCATTAACATCATGAAAGTAAGATGATTAAAACACAAATATGCTGCAAATCAAACACCCATGGCATAATCTTTTCTACCACTCCAGAAAATCCCTAAAAAATTGACCATTAGAACCCATGTAAATAGGTTGTGCTGGTTTTTACATCTCTTGGATACTCAAATACTTTTCTGCAAGATTTTCCTAACGTAATTTTTAAAAACTTTTAGCATATTCCAGGTAAATAAAGAAATACACACATTTTAAAACTCAATCCAGGAATAAACACGCTACTCTTCATTCCTCCCACCAAGTGCAGCTAAAAATCCTGGACATTATATTCAAAATAAACTTAAGACTCTAGGTGGAGAGAAGACAGACAGGCTAGGAACTACAAGACCTAAGGAAGAACATGGCAGTGAATTTCCTGGCTTTCTTGTTCCTTAATATATCCCAGGCTGGGCTCTGGAGAAGCTAGCAAACTGGAAAAGTTGTCACATAAAATGCCCCAAGAAAAGCCTTTTCCCTTTAGCCTAGTTCCCTTTAGAACCAGGAAAGGTGTAGCCTTGCAAGACAGAAAAATGTTAGACAATCACTACCCTACTCCTGTCAAACGCCAACAAACAATCTATGGCTCCATCCCCACCCTAGTCAGCAAAGGCTGAGTGTAGGTGCTAGACTTCCATCCTTGCCTAGCTATAATGAGGCACCCACCACTCACCCTGCTGGGGTGACTCCAGAGAAGACTGAGTTAGGAGCTGTAGCTTTCATTTTCTGCCCAGTGATAACAGGGTTTCCCTCCATGATGTCAGGGGAGGCCATGTGGGAGCAGTAATGAAGCACCTCCCTCTCAGAGTGTCAGTAGAGGCCCAACAGGGAACCTAGATTTCCACCCCTACTTGGCCAGCAGGGTGTCAGAGGAGGCATACTTAAAATGGAAAACTTAAATAAGATAGCGAATCTCAAGATGTAATAATACTCATAATACTCAAAATGTCTAGATACAATAAAAATCACTTATACCAAGAATCAGGAAAATCTCAGCTTGATTGAGAAAAGACAACCAACAGATGACAATACTGAGATGAATCAGATGTTGGAATTATCTGACAAGGATTTTAATGCAGCCATCATAAAATGTTTCGGCAAGCAATTACAAAATGCTTGAAACAAACTCTAAAAACAGTCTCAGCAAAGAAAGAGAGAATATAAAGATGATCCAAATGAAAATCTTAGCATGGAAATATAGTTGATATATAAAACATGCTAGATGGGCTCGATAGCCTTAGAGACCTGAGGGACAATAACCAAAGAGCTAACACTCATTACCATTGGAGTACCAGAAAGAAAAGAGAGTGAGACTGAAAAGTATAGTTGTCCATCCTTATCCACAGTTTTGCTTTCTGCAGTTTGAATTACCAGTGGTCAACTGCGGTCTGAAAATATTAGTTGGAAAATCCCAGAAATAAAGAATTCATAAGTTTTAAATTGTGCAATGTTCCAAGTAGTATGAAGAAATTTAACACCCTCCTACTCCATGCTGCCTAGGACACAAATCATCCCTTTGTCCAGCTTATCCTCACTGTATGCACTACCTGCCTATTAGTCACTTAGTAGCCATTTTAGTTATCAGATTGACTGTCACAGTATCACAGTTCTGTGTTCAAGTAATCCTTATTTGACTTAATAATAGCCCCAATGTGCAAACTTTTATCATAGTATATTGTTATAATTGTTCTATTTTATTATTAATTGTTGTTAATATCATACTGTGCCTAATTTATAAATTAAACTTTATCATAGGTAATTATGTATAAGAAAAACACAGTATATATAGGGTTCAATACTATCCACGGTTTCAGGCAGCCACTGTGGGTCTTGGGACATATCCCCTGTTGATAAGGGGGATTACTATGTTCAAAGAAATATGGCTGAAAACCTCCCACATTTGGCAAAAAAAAACATAAACCTAAAGATTCAAGAAGCTAAGTGAACTACAAACAGGATAAACCCAAAGAAATCCATGCCAATGTCATTATTAAACTCTTAAAAACAAAAGACAAAGAAAAGAACCTTGAAAGCAGCCAAAGAAACACAATGAATTATCTTTAGGAAAACACCAATTCGACTGACTGAATTTCTCAACAGAAACCCTGGAAGCCAGAAGGACATGACACAACCATTTTGAAGTGCTGAAAGAAAACAGCCGTCAACTCGGAATTCTATATCTGATAATATCTTCAGAAAGAAAAGAGAAATCATGACATTCTCAAATAAAGGAAAACTAAAAGACTTTGTCACCACCGTACTTAATCTGAAAGACTGACTAAAGGAAGATCTTTAAACAGAAAGGAAATGATAACACAAGGCTTGGTACTTCAGAAAGAAAAGAGGAGCATCAGCATGAATAAAAATAGGGGTGAATATAAAAACCATTCTATTTCTCATGAGTTTCATAAATCATATTTCATGATTAAAGGAAAATTATAACACCATCTGACATGCTACTCAATGCACATAGAGGAAATACCTAGAGCAATTACTTTAAAAGTGGAATAGGTAAAGAGACGTAAATGTCAGTAAGATTTCTATGCTTCATTCAAACTGGTAAAGCTGTATACCAGTACACTGTGAGAAGATACCATGTGTATTGTAATACCTAGAGCAACCTCTAGGAAAACTATACAAAGCAATAAACTCAAAAACACGATAAGTACATATATATAGAATCCTAAAAATGTTTAAATAAGAGAAACAGTGGACCCAGAAACAAACAAAAAAAAAAAAAATTAAAGAAAAGATATCAATAATCAGCTTAAATGTAATGACCTAAATATACCATTTAAAATCAGAGATTGGCAGAGTGGATAAAAAAAAAAAAAAAGAACATAATCCAACAATATGCTGCCTACAAAATCACACTATAAATATGATGACATAGGTAGGCTGAAAGGATAAAATGGTAAAAGATATATGCAAACATTAGAAAGAAGTGGGAGTGGCAATATTAACATTAGATAATGTAGACCTCAAAGCAAAGAAAGTTACTAGAGAAAACAGTACATGATGATTAAAAAAAACCCTCAATCTATCAGGTGAACACAACAAAAAAAAATAGAACTGAAAGATACATGAAGTCAAATTAATAAAGCTTGAAAAGAGAAATAGACAAATTCACAATTATAGTTGAGGATTTCCACATAACACACTCAGCAACTGACAGACTTGATAGAGAAAAATAAGTAAGGATAAATAAAACAAACCTCAACAAATTTAAAACAATTGAAGTCACACTGAGTATGTTCTCTGAACATAATGAAATCAAACTAGAAATACATAAGGAAGATAAAGGAAAATTTTCCAAACACTTGGAAATTAAACAACATACATCTAAATAGCCTGTAGGTCAAAGAGGAAATCTTTAAAAAAAAAAAAAAACACACACACAAAGAATGACAAGAATTTAATAAAAATGAAAATACAACATATCAAAATACGCAGGATGCAACTAAAGCAGTGCTCAGAGGAAAATTTATACTACTAAATACTTATATTAGAATAGAATAAAGGTCTCAAATAATCTGATGTTCTACCCCCAAAAAACTGGGGAAAAAAGAGAAAAACTCAGAGCAGACAAAAGGAAGAAAATAATACATATAAGAGTAGAAATCAGTACAATTGAACACGGAAAAACAATAGAGAAAAATTGATAAAACAAAAAACTGGTTCTTTGCTAAACTTCTAGTAAGAATGACAAAGACAAAGAGAAAATACACAAATTACCACCATCAGGAATGAAACGGGATATCACTATAGATCCTGCAGCTATTAAAGTGATAAGTGAATACTCTGAACACCTTCATACTCATAAATTCAACAAGTTAGAAGAAATGAACCAATTACTCAAAACCCACAAACTACTAACATCAACTAAATGAAATAACCATTAAAGAAATTGAATATATATTTAAAAAATTATTAGGAAAGAAAAATCTACAGGCCCAGATGTTTCCATTGGAGAATTTTACCATTTACAGAAGAATTAACACCAGTTTTACAGAAGCTATTTCAGAAAATAGAAGAGAAAGAAACATTTCTCAACTCATTGTATAAGATTAGTATTACCCTGATACCAAAGCCAAAGACAGTGGAAAAAAAGAAAATTACACACCAATATCTCTCACGAACTTAGATGCAAAAATCCTTAACAAAATATTAGTAAATCAAATCCAGCAATGTATAAAAAAATAACTATCTTTACCAACTGAGATTTATTCCAGGAATGCAAGGCAGTTTCAGCATTTGAAATCAATCAATGTAATCTACTCAGGCTAAAGAAGAAAAATCACACGACCATATCAATTAATACAGAAAAAGTATATGACAAAATCCAGTACCCATTCATGAGAATTTCTCAGGAAATTAGGAATCAAGGAGAAATTCTTCAACTTAATAAAGAGCATCTACTAGGAAGCACAGCTGACATCACACTTAACGATGAAAAGCTGAACGCTTTCCTCTCTAAGACTGGGAACAAAACAATGATTTCCTCTCTAACCACTCTTCAACATAGTATTTCCAGTAAGTAAAAAAAGAAGATATACAGATTGGAAAGGAAGAAATTAAACTGTCCTTATTTAGAGATGACATGATTATCTATGTAGAAAATCTCAAGGAATCCATGAAAAAAAACAAACTGCTAGAACTAATAAGTAAGTTCAGCAAAGTGGCAGGGTACAAGATTAATATGCAAAAAGCAATGTGTTGCCATATCCTAACAATCAATGTGTGGAAACTGAAATCAAAAAATATAATACCATATACAATCACTTCAAGGAAAATGAAATGCTTAAATATAATGAAGCACATACAGGATTTGTATACTGAAAATTATAAAATGCTGATGAAAGAAATCGACAAAGATCTAAATAAATGGAGA